TACCCGGTTATCCATTCCTCAGTCCTTACCCGTTGGCAGGCTTCTTCGTTGTCTGTTACTGGTAACAAGCTCCGTACTCTTAAATGTTGTGTTTCCTCGTGGCCGTCCTCCTTCCACCGTAACCGGCTGTGGGAAACAGCTCTGGCGAGGTTGCGTATTGGCCATACTCGCTTAACCCATGGTCACTTGATGGAGCGCCGCCCTGCTCCTTATTGTCCTAGTTGCATTGTCCCTCTTACGGTCGTGCATGTCCTTCTTGAATGTCCTGACTTCCAGGACGAGCGTGTGTCTTGCTTTCCGACCGCCCCTCGTGGTCACCTGTCCCTCAATAGAATTCTTGGTGACTCGGATACTTTTGATATCGTTCGCCTTATGCGTTTTTGTTCTCGTATTGGCATCCTTGGTGATATTTAGCGCCCTCTGATTATTTTGCACATTTGATGGTGCTACATAGCCTTCCCGGTTTGGTGCCTTCTTTTGATAATTACTTACTTACTAAAACGATTCATCTATCATCTATAAAAATTGGAGATGGCATGGGTGGGCAAGAGTGGCGCTCAGAGCTACAACTGAATACACTTGCTATATCAACCTCATTGGTGCTGTATCACTTGCATCCAACCTTTGTGTTGTCCTTATTGCACCTAGCTTCATCAATATCATGACCCTTATGTTCTTCAAACAATAAAGTCTAAAATTCACCAACAGAGAGCGATCTTTCAACACCGCATCGCATCGGACAGGTGTTTGGGAGCCAGAGGGTGTGAGTCACCCATGGTGGCTCACTCAATACTAACCCAGCCAGCAGCCCTAAGACATTCTGAGAATATTTTCCAAGATGGTTGCCTCTCACTGGAGGTCCCAAGAGTACATTTCGTACACAACCTACCGTGCATGCATTTTGAATGTGTACTATTATAGTGTGGGCTGGTGGTGGTGTCGCGTTGTTGTCCCTTCTTTACGGACAACCCAACCCACAACTCGGTAGAGTGTTTATACTTCACTAGGAGATCACACTAGGCGCTTCTGGCTCTTGGAGAGGGGCTCAACTTCACACGTTTAGGGGATGCGGCTCCAACACTTAGCCTCGTTGTCACGTGCACACACCCACTCGAGCCGCTGTGACTCCCCACTCTCTCCTTATGTGATATGATCTCCTCAATCCCCTTTGACTTAATAATTTTCCATCCTACCCTGTCCACAGCAGTGGTTCCTGGTTCTTTCTCTCTCTCTCTTTCTTTACTATTTCCTGGGAAGCCTCACTAGGACAAGGGCAAACACCAGCAAATTTGAATACATTTACTGGACACAGTACATATACAATACATGCACATACAGTGGAACCTCTATTAACGAGTGGCTCTATTAACGAGTTTTTCCAGTAACGAGCAAGCCACTCGCAGCAAATTTGTCTCTATTGACGAGCTCGCCTCTATTAACGAGTGAAACCACATGGCGCTTCCTATAGCGTCTCGCGGGTTCTCGCAAATTCTCGGACGCCTCCGACGCCAGTGTTGTTGTTGTATCTCACACGACAAGCATCCCTCTGGATTTATTTGAGCTTTTCTTTGGGTTTTTAGTGGTTTTGCGACTACAATTTGTAACACACGATGTCTCCAAAGAAGCTGCTTGCTAAAGATAGTGTTTTCAAGAGGAAGAATGACACAATTATTATGGATTTCAAGAAGGAAATTATAGCAAAGCATGAGTGTGGTGTCTGTGTGATTGATCTCACAAGGAAGTATGGCAGGTCCTCATCAACAATTTACACCATTAGTAAGGGAATGAGGAGGTAAGGGAGGATGCTGCCTCTTCCACTGAGATCAGGGAAGTGTTTGGAATGTTTGAAAAGGTGAACGCATTCTTGGAAAAGCTGCCCTGATAAAGCAGTGACAACCCAGTGTGTGAAAATGTTTAATTAATTTATCACTTTGTGATAACACTTTATGAAAGTGTTATCACTTTCGCAGGTATATGTCGCTTGAACGTAACACACTTTTTTTCTCTTGAATGCACCCAAACACCGCGCTCAAGCATCATTTGAGCAAATATTTCTATAAAATCCAATACTTATCCGATCGACTTGGGGATTGTATACATGTTTGCCGTGAAATTTCCGTTTTCTTTAATAACCACATTGCCTATTTGAGAAAACGGCATTGTATTGTATCTTCGTGGTAAGACTATTATATTGTTGACACAACGAGTGTAATCAACGTAGTTTTTTTATTTGGTGCTGGTCTAACGCATCCTTGTGTGACATTTGAAATGAAATTTGGGTGAAATTCCCAAGAAGAGAGAGTCCGCCTGACTCAGAGGTGAATTCTCCTTCCACACCATAACCCCTCTCCTCCTTCCCACCTCTCCATCGTCTCCCTCAAGCCAGCAACTACTCTTCATAAGGTAAAGTAAATATTAAAACACTACAACAAAACATTTATATTTACATGTGCAGTATTATATTTACTTAAAAAAAAAGTCATACAAGTATGGATGTTTTTGGGAGTGGAACGGATTAAATTTATTTCCTTTATTTTAAATGGGGAAATTTGTTTCCAAAGACGAGTTTTCCAGGTAACGAGCTCGGTGCCAGAACGGATTAAACTCGTTAATAGAGGTTCTACTGTATAATAATAATAATAATAATAAGGAATCCTACACTCTATACTATTTCAGTCAGGTTGCACTCCAACACCATCAGAACTCTATCATCAGCTTATCAAGTGGTATCCTATCCTGATTCACCACCTAATATTAACAACCTCCTCAAGTAGATCAAGTCTTATAATACAGTGTTGCACTATCAGCAAGAGAATATATATATGTAAACATGTACAAGGAAAATCAGCATATGAATGCAATAACATATATCAGTATAAATGTTCCTTGATACACAACAATGATCAATCAATCACCCTATCAGTCCTAGAACACATACATCTGTAGGTAATCCAGCTTACGACTGTAAGCTTTATACTTCAGTATAAAACACTCCTTGACATAAGAATGCAAACAATCGCCCACCTCTCACTGCGTCTTGCACGCTAATGACAACCAAACACTATATTACCTCCCTACAAGTAATCATTTAGAACCTCCCTTCCACATCTGGAAGTTCACTACCCTGATCTCTTCAGGTTCTTCCGGGTTTAACTACCAGGATCCTTCGCAGCTCTTCTAGGCTGCTACACCATGAAGTGTTCCTTGAACAACTGTGGTGCTTCACTACTTCTGCTAGGGTCCTCCACAGCTCTCCTGGCTGCTACACCATGAAGTTCCCTCAAGCAACTATGGTGCTTCACCACCTCTACAGAAGCACGTGACACTCCTCTTCACTGCTTCTCCTTACAGCTCGAGGTCCTCTCCTCCACTACCTTGGAGTCTCATCAGCTACTCCCTCTGTGCTGGCTTCTAAGTTCTCAGCAACTTCTTCCCCAAAGACAAACCTGCAACCCATTGACACTCCAAAAAATATGTTTCCCCTTAAACACACAAACAAAAATAAACACATAATATGTTTGCCTCCAACATCTATCTGCTCTCTACATACGGTGAGAGTGGACTCCCCCGTTTTGGGCTGGTCCATGCTCCACCTTGCCCGGCGGGCCTCACTCTGGGAGGGTCCTCCGCCGCCTCCTCAGTCACCTGCCAGCGCTCAGAGGAGACGGACGTCGCTCCGTCCTCCATGACGTTCCTCCCTCTCCACTCTCTTATTTTAGGCTTTCTTCTTTATCAAAACATGTCTAACTTATCAATAAACATTGCTACTGTCGCTGGGCACACGACCAACTACAAGCAATCACTATGAACTGGCTTAAATCGTGCTTATCACAGATTGTCTGTTCGAGGGCGCTCCTCCCTCTGACAGAGTCTGGTCAGGGCACTGCCACGGCCCACGATAATGTCTCTGGGCGGCTTAATAAACACTCCTCACCGTCCAGGACTTGAGACCACAACGTTCTCAGCTCAATTCCACAGCTGGCATGTCTGCACACTTCTCTTCTGTTGGAGGTATATCACTAGGGGTTCCTTTCTGACGGGAGCTCAAACGGAGCACATCTTCCCCCTGCGATGTCTGGCCTCAAGTGAGATCAAAGCCCTCCAGAAGCGAGCCTCACGCCTCCAGCAAAATATCCACATCTCCTAACCAGTCATTTATCTATTTTCTTATTCACTGCCCATAATCTCAAATTGTTCATCATATCCAACCAGCTACTTTACATCGGTGTCTTCACCTCCATATTTTCCAGACCTTATAGTCAGGTCAGGCTTGATAGAATAATTCTCAAAGGGGAGACTCGTTTTTCGGCTACCTGGGATCACAACAGTACGCAATATTCAAAAGGTGTTTTCTCTGTTGGCGCAGTTCCCACTGACCAAGTTTTGTCGGTTGGCACAGCACAGTGGTTAATTATTTCGTCTTTTTTCTCAGATGTCATCACTGACCTTTTTTTTTTTTTTTTTTTTTTTTTTTATGTATCCCGCTTGTTTATGCTCTCGCTGACACAATGCGTGCATTTGGAGTCGACATGGTGCACGTATGTTTCTAGATTGTGCAAATATATCCAACAAATGTCACAGAATGAACACTCCAGTGTCGTGACAAATCAAAACGATGGGAACAATGGGTTGTAAATCTGTGACATTACAGGGTAGAAAGCACTAGAGTGGCACCCGACACAGTCAGTAGGCAAACTAGGCCATCTCCCACCCCACCACCCCAGGCTGGTGCAAGGCCTGGCAGACCACTTCCTCGCTTCCCGAACTTAGTTCGGGAAGCATGAAACCCCAAACCCGATCGTTAAACTGGAACTTTTGGATAACCTAAGTTCGCAAAGCATGTGGCTGTCTGTAGTCTGCTTTTTGTTTTTTTTCGCACATCTGTGTCTTCTATGTATGCATTGCACATTAAATGTTGCAGTTAAGGTTTAACAGAAACTCAAAAATAATTCCTATTAATTGAATTAAAACATGTTAATTTTTGCCCTTTCCTTTTGCAGCTCACATTTTTATCAGAAGAATTCCACTTGCAGTTTCAACACCCCAGGCCATAAAGCTCATTTAAGTGTTAGTAACACTGCGGGTATAATACACATCAGCAATGTGTCTCATAATGCACATGACCGTGTTGAAAATACTACAGTGCAGAACGTCAACAATTAGCTCACTTAAATTACCCAGCTGCTATATGCATAACCTCAACAGCCTGTGAACATATGTTTACTCCACTCATTCAGATATTGTAGTGCAGCATTATGACCATCTTCAGTAAAGATTTCTTAGATCAACAGAAATTTGTTGTTATACATTGAAAATTTAAGAATAGACTAATAATGTAATATTTTTATTCATTCTTTGCGAGTTCTATTTGAATGGTAATTTTTGGAAATTCATTCATATTTAACCATTATGCAGATATAGTGTATAATAAGGACCGAAATAGACTATGTCCAGACCCAGTTTCCTTATGTCTAATATACTTCACTATATAAAATTTGTGTGATGTCAGCAGTGATACTTCCTACCTCAGGTAATTGTTCATTCACCCCTGTTCTTCCATTTTCCTGCCAAGTCAGGTACTACATTTGCTTAATGTACTTGGTAATATTATTATTTCACTCATATTTTCTCTAAATATATATTTGTGCTTTTATGAACAGTATTTTATACATTTTAAAGCTCTAATACTATTCTTAATATTCACTGTTTGGTATTACATTATAAAAATATATCATTATAGGTAACTTGATTAATCATACATATGTATGATTAATCAAGTTAGAAGGAGGAACCCATTTATTTTTAAAATATATTTATTATAATAATAATATATTTCTGTATATACATTTGTCTGTATGTATAATAAGTGTTTATATGAATGTATGTGCAATATATTTGTATTTGATTTAATATTTATCATATATTGACAGGGAAGCTAGACATATTGAATATTTATCATATTAAGCCATTTTCCTTCTTACCTTTATATAAACGTTTATATATTGGTGTATAGTATTTAGGGAATAAAAACATGTTCTTCCCTCTTAAACACCATATATACAGCAATTTGACATGAAAGTTAATATCATTACATGCAATTAGTTAACAACACTTGCTATTTCTCAGTATAAAATTCATTCAGTACAAAATGTACATTCACAAAAGTCTGTAGATAAAAGATGGCTTCTTGTAAAACCATATTAGGTTTCAGTAAAAAGAAACTCGATTTCTTTCTTGCAAGATATAATTGGTCATGCAAATGTTTAGTACCTCTAAAAGATAGAGAAACTTGTGTTACTGTTACAGTCATGCTAGCAAGTGCATGAACAATTTATATATCAGTGCTAAACATTTGAGGGCTGCTTGCTTCAATTGACATAGAGTATAAAAGTTCACCTGAAGTCAGTGTAGTTTATATTAGATAATATTTCTCACATAGAGACCTGTGATAACTGTTATGTTTATAAATCCATATCATTACCATATAAATAAATAAATATATATATATATATATATATATATATATATATATATATATATATATATATATATATATATATATATATATATATTATATATATATATTAGCTAATAAGAAGATGAATCTTGTTGTTATATTGTACATATGAAGTCATCAATTAGAAGAATTTGTAAAAATTTGCTTATCATCAATTTGGACCATTTGACATCCAGGGTGTATTCAATACCTTTGATTGCACTCACCTTATGTCTGTCTGCTTTTGTATTGGCATCCTGAGTGATATTTAACAACTTTTGAATACCTGTAACATAGTCTATGTTGCATAGCCTTCCCGGCTTGGCATTTTCATTTGATAATTACTGACTCTTCAGTCACCTATACTGTATTTATCTTTTTCTTAAATTCCAAAAAAGAAAAAGTGTTTATTTTAAAAATAAAAGGTAATATTATAACACCATCCAAATTTGAGAAGCTCATTAATATCATACTTTGTAATTATTATGAAATTCTGTATATCCAAGGAAATATTGGATATTTTAAAAATATTTTTTCCATATTTTTAACTCATTTCTAAAGAGACTTGTAAAATTAATTTGTCTTAAATATTTTAAGACTTGCACATAGTGGTGTACTTGAGCTGAATTAATTATGCACACTAATTGTTAGATAAAGATTTTTTATAAATATTTTATTCTACTTAACCTTCAAGAGTTCTTGCGAAGGAAAATATAAATTTTCAGTTGTCAGGGTGTAAGACATTTCCGAATATTATTATGACAAATTTTCTGTGTAAAATTGACATTGGTAAACATTCAAGACATTACAATATATAGAAACCACATCAGTGCTTAGTCTGCAAAAGACATTTAAAATATATCGGCTTGAGTGTAACCTAACCTAGGGTTAGGTTACCTAGGACCTACCTGTGTACCTAAGACCTACACAGGTAATCTAAGGTTACCTGTGTAACCTAAGTGTGTTACATAGGGGGAGACCATATTGTTCATGGTGTAAATGAACCAGTAAATCATATTGGAATTAATGTAAGAATGAAACCATATCAGTGTTCAGAGTGCTTAAAAGATTATTCAGGTAAATCGAATCTAATAAAGCATATGAGACTTCATACAGGAGAGAAATTGTATCAGTGTTCAGTGTGTCCAGAAGGATTTCCAGAAAAAACAAAACTCATGCAACATATGAGAGTTCATACTGGAGGGAGACCATTTCAGTGTCCTGTGTGTCTAAAAAGATATTCAAATAAATCAAGTCTAGTAAGTCATATGAGACTACATACAGGAGATAATTCTTATAAATGTTCTGTGTGCTTTAAAGATTTTTCAGATAAATCGACTCTTGTAAAGCATATGAGACTTCATACAGGAGAGAAGCCATACAAGTGTTCAGTGTGTCTAAAAGATTATTCTGAAAAATCAAGTCTTGTAAAGCATATGAGATTTCATACAGGAGAGAAACTATATGAATGTTCAGTGTGTCTAAAAGTATTTTCAGAAAAATCAAAGCTAATTCAACATACAAGAGTTCATACAGGAGAGAGACCCTATAAATGTTCAGTGTGTCCTAAAGCTTATTCATTTCAGTCAAGTCTAATTAAGCATTTGAGACTTCATAAAGGAGAGAGACCATATGAGTGTTCAGCATGTCTAAAAGGATTTTCAGAAAAATCAAAGCTCATTCAACATACAAGAGTTCATACAGGAGAGAGACCATATAAGTGTTCAGAGTGTCTAAGAGGATATTCAAATAAATCAAGTCTAGTGAGGCATATGAAACTCCATGCAGGAGAGAAACCATATCGGTGTTCAGAGTGCTTGAAAGATTATATAGATAAATCAAGTCTTGTAAAGCACATGCGGCATCATACAGGAGAAAAACCATATCAGTGTTCAGAGTGTCTCAAGGATTTTTCAATTAAATCAAATCTAGTACAGCATATGAGAATTCATACTGGAGTGAAACCATATAAGTGTTCAGTGTGTCTAAAAGGATTTGTAGAAAAATCAAAGCTCATACAACATTTGAGAGCTCATACTGGAGAGAAACCATATAAATGTTCAGTGTGTCTAAAAGATTTTTTAAATAAATCAAATCTACTTATGCATATGAAATTCCATACAAGAAATAAATACTAATGTTCAGTGTGTCAAACAAATTATTCAGTTAAATCAAGTTTAGTAAAGCACATGAGTCATCATACAGGAGGGAAATCATATCAGTGTGTCTAAAAGGATTTACAGAGAAATCTAAGCTTGTACAACATGTAACAACTCATACTGAAGAGAAACCACATCAATGTGTTTAAAAAAATTAATTTAAATCAAGTCTAGTAAAACAATGAGACTTCATTCATGAGAAACTCAATTGGTGTTCAGTGTTTAAAAGGGTTATTAGAAAAATAATTCATACAACATGAGAGTTTGCTCAAAATACTGTAGAAGCTCGCTAATCCGGACTATATGGGAATTATAGCTACTGTAACCCTTGCCGGATTAGCACATTTTCTGGATTAACATATTTTTTCACTGCAGAAGTCCAAAAGTGAACATTTCAAAAAATGTTTGTACCACAAACAACATAATTTGAATTTCTACACTCTAATTAGTGTGTGGGGCTGGGTGGGTGGTTAGCTTCCTGGCTGGTAGGTGGGCAGAGCAAGTGGGTGGGCAGGCAGGTTTTGGATGGGTGAATGGCAGGCAGATGGGCTTGGTAAGTGCCAGGTAGATGGGTGAACAGGTGGGTGGGTGGGAGAGCAGGCAGGTGGGTGAACAGGTGTGCGGGTGGGCAAGCAGACAGGTACTTACCTAGGTGTACTGACCTAGTTGTGCTTGCGGGGGTTGAGCTCTGGCTCTTTGGTCCCGCCAATCAACAGGTGTACAGGTTCCTGAGCCTACTGGGCTCTATCATATCTACACTTGAAACTGTGTATGGAGTCAGCCTCCACCACATCACTTCCTAATGCATTCCATTTGTCAACCACTCTGATACTAAAAAAGTTCTTTCTAATATCTCTGTGGCTCATTTGGGCACTCAGTGTAACACCGTAAAGGTGTTTTGTTTAGTTTTATTTAAAATATATATAGTTCATGAGTCAGAGACAAGGATCTGAGAGGCGCCAGTTTGTCGACCTGAAACTCGCACCTCTAAGCGTTAATAACCTCAAGTTGACCTGACGTCAGCTCATGCGAATTTCACCTTGCTTCCGCTAATCTGATAATTGTAACCTGATAACCTTCAAACATGACGACGTCTAAGGAGTGGCTTGGTAGCGTGCCTGAGGCTATCTACTTTTGGGCAGAGTTAGCTATTAAGTTTCCCAATATATACTGAGGAAGCTATAGAGCATAGAGAATAAGACAGAACAGCCAGCGGAGCAGAACAGAAGACAGCCTAGCCAGGGAGGCTGTATGCCGGACGGGGCGGGACCGTCTCTGTCAACTACAGACCATCCCCCCCCTCCCCCTCTATCCAGCTATAGGCAGACACTTGGTGAGTTGAGCATGAAAGGTGACTTAGTCGTGTTTACAAGTGTTGTGTGAGGATCAGGGGCAGTCAAGTTGTAGGGTTCTCGAATTCTTGGATGATGACTCACTTTGCATATTAATCTTGAACATAAATTATGATACTTATCATGTGAAATATAATTGAATTTGTTATTTAAATTGTCTTTAACTTTGTTCCCTAGAGTTTTTGAGTTGAGGTAAGAAAGCCTCTGCGGTTACTGGTTTCATGATTTTAATGGGCAAATGATACAGATGGAACAGACTAATATTGACCTCTTGATAACATCTTTGAGAATATTGTGATACAGACAAGTTCCATTCTTTGTCTTGTAGGTACGGACAAATGAATGGATGGTGGCAGCATTTCTTCTTCTACTATCTACTATTCTACTTCTACTATCTACTTTTCTACTTCTACCTATCTACTCCTCCACCTCCACCCCTCTCCGAACTCTCCCTTTCAACTGACGACCCTCCTCGCTCCTCCCACCTCTCTACCTCTCTCACCCCAAACCCTCACTAACTACTTCATTATTCATCTCTTTCCTTTCGTTTCTCTTATACATTTTTTTTTTTTTTTTTTTTTTGAGATATATACAAGAGTTGTTACATTCTTGTACAGCCACTAGTACGCGTAGCGTTTCGGGCAAGTCCTTAATCTTATGGTCCCTGGAATACGATCCCCTGCCGCGAAGAATCGTTTTTTCATCCAAGTACACATTTTACTGTTGCGTTAAACAGAGGCTACAGTTAAGGAATTGCGCCCAGTAAATCCTCCCCGGCCAGGATACGAACCCATGACATAGCGCTCGCGGAACGCCAGGCGAGTGTCTTACCACTACACCACGGAGACTGCAAATTTGGTGGTTTGTGGCAGTGAAATGTGTTCTAGAGTTCTCTAGAGTTTTGGGTAGCTGATCAAGTTACGGCACCTTGTAGTCACAGCACCTAGGTAGTCGAATGCCTAGGTTACAAGGTGTTGAACGAGAGAGGTTGCCGTAGGAACTCTGGGGGTGCTCTAGAATAGTTAGCTAACTGAGGACGGGATAACGAACTAAAGAGAGCTGTTTCCCTCGGCCTCGTTAGTTAACTGGGGGGTGGAATAATGGACAAGAGAGAGCTATTTCCCCCACCACCCGTTACATCAGTTTCCACCTGTGTCCCCTAGTGCGTGCGCCCCTTGTGTTAAATAACCTGTCTTAATCTACCCTGTCGATTCCCTTGAGAATCTTGAATGTGGTGATCATGTCCCCCCTAACTTTTCTGTCTTCCAACGAAGTGAGGTTTAATTCCCGTAGTCTCTCCTCGTAGCTCATACCTCTCAGCTCGGGTACTAGTCTGGTGGCAAACCTTTGAACCTTTTCCAGTTTAGTGTTATGCTTGACTCAATATGGACTCCATGCTGGAGCCACATACTCTAGGATTGGTCTGACATATGTGGTATATAATGTTCTGAAAGATTCCTTACACAAGTTTCTAAATGTGGTTCTTATGTTAGCCA